TGGCATGCGGGGACGCTGAACCATAATTTACTGGCGAAATGCTTTTTGCCTCCGCTCAAAAATATGTCGCGAATTTAGAAACACATAAACGACCGCTTCTTGTCGACAATTCGGGACCGCTGCGCTTTTCTTCTAGTACCTCATGTTCCTCCCACTTCCACCTCACTCCACGTTCTAAGCTGGACCTCATTTTTCCTCTTCTAGGTTTTCGAATACGTGGACCGCGACCTGAAGCAGTACATGGATGCCTGTAATAACGTACTCACCATGAATAACATCCGGGTTGGTTTGGTCACTTTGTTGTTCCTATATTTCACCAATTTTTATAACTTATTATCTTCTTCCTGGGTGTGCTCAATTATTGGCAATAAAACAGTGTAGCAGAGATTCAATCCACTTTTTCAGTTATTCCTTTTCCAACTGCTCCGAGGTTTGGCGTACTGCCACCAGCGCCGAGTACTCCATCGCGATTTGAAACCGCAGAATCTTCTGATAACTGCCAAGGGCGAGCTGAAGTTGGCCGACTTTGGTTTGGCGCGGGCTAAATCTGTACCAACGAAGACCTACTCGAATGAGGTGGTGACGCTGTGGTACCGACCGCCGGATGTGCTTCTAGGTGAATCAACTTTTTCCTTTTTGTTCCGGTTTCCCAGACGAAAACAACAGCGCAGTGTTTTCAGCGAACAGCCATGTTTTTGTTGACGTTTATGTATTTCTGTTCCACCATTTGAAGTCTTTTAATTTTGATCCGACACGCACTGCGATAAAAGCTATTTTGAAGGGAATTGTCGGTTCCATGCAATGTTGTTTAGCAGAAAAGGCTTTATTGTGGTCGCTAAATTATGCGGGAATCCTCGTCCTTAATTGGATTTTTCACAATAGTCTTTTCAAGCGCGCTGCTAAAGAGACGAGTTCTGTTTTAAACAATGGAAGAACGACTGAAAAATAGCCTTCAACGACAGTGCACGGGGCAATTTTATTCAGGCGGCTTGGAGGAGAAGTCAATGTTAAAAGGGTATAATTTGTGTGGTGTGATTTCTATGAATTGTGGCACCCCGTCGAGCATCCAGTTCCCTTTTTACATGAACCTAAATATAGCGCGCAGCCCTACGACATCTACGCACCCAATCGCCACGAACGGTTCAACAACACACTAAATACAATGTCGCTGTTCACCCTCTTTCCGCTTAAACTAGTTTTGCTGACCTTGCATTCGTCTTTCCCAAAAATGGTTACAGTACAGTTATGAAGGGGTAAACAAGACAAATATTCTTGATCGTGAAACATGGTCAAACGTTCTTCCATTGTGGTTTTCTTTAGGTGTGACTTGTAAACCCAGTCGTATAGCATTTTTTGCCTTTAACTTCTTTATGATTCTTCCCTGCGATGGCGTCATACCGCACCCCTCTCAAAAAGAACGTTGTCGCTGCACCAAGACAAAGAGTGTTGCTTCCCGTTCCGAATGCTATTCTTGCTGTGTCTCCTTCCGGAAGAGACCGAACCAGCTTTTGAATAAGTCGAGCGACCGTGCTCTATGGCTTGCCCTGCTTTGCAGCTCCATTTCTCTGGTTCCTCAAAGAAATACTTCGATTAGATGGGATTTTGTGAGCTGTTGAACGGAAACGGTTGCTTTGCAAAGCATTCGAGAGTTATTGAAAATGAGATTGGAGTTTCTCCCCTGGTTCTTCAAGCAATCTCAGGAATCTCGCCCTTCTACTGAACCTATCTGTACATCACCTACAGTTAGATTCAGTAGTTGATTTCTACGCTGAGAAGTATAGTAGTCAAAGCTGAAATTGATTTGTTTTTCATACATTCTATTGCCAAATTGAGGAAACACCATCGGTAATCTTATTCCTTGGAAAACATTAAATTTTGTATCAGCCCAGCGGAACTTTAAAAGTCCAACTATCCTGACCATTTTTCACAGAGGGACTGGGATTTATCTTCCCGTCTTTGGGATCGCCACTATTTTTAACATGCGGTAACCGTATGTTGGTAAATAGCTGAAAATTTTCAAAACACGCGAAATGAAATCGTGCCATTTGAATAATCTGGACGAAATCTTATTGATTGATATGAAAAGAAAAACAAAAGAAAAACTGAATGCTTTCTTCCAAAACATGAGTCGTAAGGTATCACACCGTTGACAGACTGCAGCCCACATATGGGCTGCATGGCTCCCAAGGTGTAAACTTACTGTTTGGATCAGTCTGCTCAAATCTTCTTTCCATCCATAATTATGAGGTAGTTGTAGGTCATAATATAATACATATCAATCATCGATAATTCTCCACCCCTTTTGTATCATACTTTAGTTAGGTGAGGATCAGCACAAGGTTCATCACTGGCATAAAAGGCTGAGTTTAAGGCGGTTCAAAGGCATAA